AAACAAACAAACAATTTACATATATTTATATACATATATGTCTATATAGCAATATAGATTAACAAAATGGATATACCCAGCAGCGGTGCAATATTTACGCTTGGCAAATCGCATTTGGCGGAGAATACGCAAAGCTATTTCTATATCAAAAACGATCCGGTCAAACGCTTGATATCCGGTCCGCATCAGAGTGCGGTTATATGCGGTAAATTCAACACCAATACAACAACAACAACAATAACAACAAGACTCAGCAAAGTGTCTGTCTGTTCACCTGTCCATCTGTCGGAATTTCTGCCTTCCCTTCCACCAACTCCTGCTGCAAAAACTTTACTTTAACTTTATGCCCCTTTGGCCAAGACGAGCTCCGCTTGCCCGATTGTCTTTTACGGTGTCTGTGGCAGGCTTCGTGGCCCGTTGACCACGTTGCATGCTAGCTGCAATTTAGTCTCAAATAATAAACACGCAGCGCACTTTCCCTTTTATGTTAGCCCAACACAGAACAGTTTGTAGCAACTCGAAACGATGGCTCAATTACAGCCAGGCGATCATAAGTCTCCGAGACTGGAATCGATTTGACACTATTCTCCACTTGGCTTACATAACTCAACGACAAGCTCCATGAGCTCTATGAGCCGACTTGCAGTCAGTTTAAATAGGGCTAAGCTAGCACACTCGAAATCACAGACCAATCCAATACTCCATTCGGGCATCTAATGAGGTCAGCTAAAAGGGGCGGCCTGGGGGGGCGCTGCTGCCATAAATATGGGCCAAACTCACGAAGCACGTTAAAGGAAATAAATAGTCCACGAGTGAGTGAGACCAAAAAGGCTAAAACCGAACGCGGCTCGCTCGTAATTGAAACGTAAAGCGGGTCAGGTGAAATAAAATAGTTGAAAGCAGTTCTTTGGACAGTTGAACATTTCGGGCATTGGATTGACAGTGGCAAACAAACACACACACACACATAGCAATACACCCACACACATTTACTGCGCTGAACACTCACGCAATCAATAAAACTTACAAGCAGCAGCTAAACAAAAGGTGAAATTGGTCAAAAGTTGATGTCAAAACGTTCTTATCAATTACAGAATCGGGTCGTCTTTTCGTTTGGGGCGAGAATCATTATGGCCAACTGGGCATTGGCGGGCATGCTAACAAAAGCAACAACAACAACAACAGCAACAACAATGGTGATATAGTCAGCAAGCCAACTTGCGTTAAGTCGCTGAAAACTTTGGGCTTAAAGATAAGCGATGCCGCCTTTGGCAACAATTGGGCCGTAATAATGACGCGTAAGTAAGAATAGGGCTAAAAGCAAACTCATATACCACATATATGTATGTATGTATATAATAAGCTCCTACTAAACTAAAAGTCAATTAATCTCTAATTATAAGCAGTTGCCAGCTAATTTACCAACCATTCAACGAGCTAAACTTCTAATTAACACTCCTACAACTTTGCCTGTTTCTCTCTCTCTCTCTCTCTTTTGCTCTCTTTCTCTCTCACACATACCAGTTTCCAATGAGATATTCTTTACGGGTCGAAACATATTCCCCTTGGACACGCATGTCGCTCAGCATTTCATCAATGCAGTCGTGGAGGAGCAGCCGTGCGCCATAATACGAAAACCTTTTCGTTTGGAGGAGTTCGATGATTATCTGTCGAAGAACGAGGAAACGGATAACTTTGTCGCTCTGCAGGCGGGCAACGAGCACTTTGTGGTGCTGACCAGTGAGTAGAGAGAGAAAAATACTCTAGGGAAATGCTCAGCTCAGTCTGTCAAATTTTTACAGGCAAAGGTCGCTTGATTGGCTGTGGCTCGAATGCCAAACAGCAGCTGGGCGATCTGGGCATGGACTACGATGGACATCCCGTGGAGATATGCCTGGACGCTCCAGTGCAGCAGTTTGCCTGCGGGCCAGAGTCCACGCTGGTGCTGACTGGCAGTGGGAATCTCTTTTTGACTGGCCGCCTCAATGAGTTTGTCTTTCCCAAGTTCACGGAGCTGCAGAAGAATCTCTCGCAGACGGAGCAGATAATCTTCATGCACATATCGAAGGCCAGCGAGATCTTTATCGTGACCAATGTGGGCAACATCTACCGCAGCTTCGAGTCGCTGCGCAACAAGAGCTTGGTCTTTCAGCGCTTCTATGACTACGACAGCGAGGAGAATGGACCCATTTGGAAGCTGCTCAAGGGCTTCTCCTTCTATGCGGTGCTCAGCAAGGCCAACAAGTTCTTCACCACGTTCTCGGAAAGCGGACATCATCTGAAGACCTTCCGTGAGATCTCCAAGTTTAAGAATCTGCGTCTACTCGACATTGCCGTAGGGGATCAGCACATTCTAGTCCAGGGCTTGCCCAGATCTTCGGCCCTATCGGCTACAGTGGGCAGTCCTGCGGATGCACAGAGCTACATGAGCCGCAGCTTTGTGCTACAACCGAAGGATCTCAATGGCAACATGGAAATGCGAAGCGCCAGCGGCAAGAGTCTGACGAAGCAACGTGCGTTGAAGGAGACGGAACCAGAAAGGGACGGAAAGGACAAGAGTTCGGCCTTCATGGGCGCCAGCGTAGCAGCAGTTGGCGCATCTGTGGCCACACTGGAAGCCGTGAAGCACATTTCAGATGAACACGAAAACGGGAGAGCTGAGCAGGAGCCCAACACAGCAAAGGAGCCAGAGAAAGACAACGAACAAATGGAAGAGATGCAGGCAATGAATGAGAATGTCAGTGAAGAAGCAAATCAAGAAACAGAACAAAAAGCAGAGTCCACAACAGAGGAGCCAAATAACAACAAGGAAGAGTTGTTGGTGGAAGCGAAAATAGAGACGCCAGTCGAAGCAGAGGCAAGCGAAGCAACGCCTCAAACAGAAAGTCAAACAATGGAAATGGAAATGAAATCGGATCAAATGGAGCCCACGGCGCCTGAGGAGAGTCCGATTAAGCAACCCACAAATACGACAACAACAGCAACAGCAGTGGAAGCGTTAGTCAAGTTGCCAACGCCACCTGCAGAAACGCCATCACCTCAGCAATCACCAGCAGAATCGATCAAGTCAAACAAAGTGAAAGCAGAGGACGAGCAGCCGCCCACAGTGAGCAGCCAGGAGAAGCAGCTGCGCCCGCGCACGCCTTACCCGGACAGCAGCAATGCGAGCACACCGCAAACTATAAAGCGAACGCCCATCCGGAATTTCTCCTATGAGGCGGCCATGAAGCACGATGAGATTGATAAAACGTCGCCAGAGCTTGTGGATAGCCTGGATACGGTACAGGAGAATCCGCTGGCCGAAAGTGCGCCGTCAACAGATATACAAATATCTACGCCCACGCCGCCGACCGAGGAGGATGAGCAGCTGGCCGTTGAGATAACGACCACGGAGGATGCGCTGGACAGCAGCAAGGTGGTAAATGAGATACGTTTCATCAACAATGGCGTCGATGTGACGGCAAACGTTGAGAAACAAATGCCAGACACGCCGCTGGCTGACTTTGTAGACGACCTGGAATCGGACGGTGAGCAAATGCTGGATGATCTGGAGCAGCACGTCGACAAGGTGGTCACAGAACAGAAAGCAGCGGTTATCAAGGCCACAGAGAGTGTCGGCGATGCCATCGAATCAAAGCTTCAGGAGACGGGAAACACGGTGCAAACAGCAGTGCAGAATGCGATGACGGGTGCTCGCGATACTGTTGAAACAGCGGGCGAGCGCATGGTAAGTGGCGCCCGGAATGCTGTCGATGCAGCTGGAAAGGGTGCCCAGCGCATGGCAGACGGAGCTCGAGATGCTGTGGATGCGGCTGGCAAGAGCGCAATGCGCATGGCCAGCGATGCTAAGCAATCCATGGAACAAGTGGGCAGCAATGCAGCCAAAATAGCGACAAACACGAAAGAGTCAATGGGCAGAGCCGTGGACTCAATGACCAGCAAGATATCTAGCGAGGTGCATGGCGCCAAGGAGAATATATCCTCGCTGTTTCAAATCAAAGCGGCCAAGGAGTCACAGCACATGACGACGCCCACAACGACACCGGAAGATGTTCGACCAAAGCGAAGCACCGAGACAGCCACATCTGGAGACTTGGAGGGAGAAGGCGAGGAAGATGAGCGCACCACGGCATCGGTAAATTCAAATCACCATTCCGCTGGCCACAGCAATGGCAATGGCAACGGCAATATCTTTGAGCCCATGAACAGCAATAGCCATGCCTTTGAAGAGGATCCACTTGATGCGGTTGTTGAGCGCAGCAAGAAGGCAATGCAAGAGGAGCTGCGCGCTTTAGAAGAGCAACGCGCTCAATCACATGTTCAAACCAAGAGCGAGCCACAGCGAAGACAGAGCACTGAGAGTAGAGGCATAGTCCAGCAATTTCTAGATGGTGTGCGGCTTTCGTGCCGCAACGAGAAGGCCGTACAAATCGAGGGTGAGCATAAGTATAACGAAATAATAATCTATTTTAGCTAATACTAACCTTTATTCGTTTACCGGCAGATGAGCCGCCACCGCAGACGCACCACAGTAAAAACAAGGTCAACAGCGAGCTGAGCCTGCAGAATGGTCAAAACGGCGAGCAGCAGTCGTCACGCGTCTGCACAATTTTATAAAAATGAAGCGCACTACCCACTCAGAAAAGCGTACACTTTTATAAACAATTGCATTTGATTTTAATAAACTTGCAGTTGCAATTTCGCATTAGAAATGCGTGTTTTTACCGTAAATCTATCGATGATTTATATCAACTATCGATTAATACAATTAATACGATGCGCTAACACGCGAATGGCAGCTGTGTTGCTCCAATATTCTTACATAGTGACATCTCTTATTTATATCTCAAATCTTTTTGTTCAAGAGGGACGAAATACATATATGAACTAAATATGATTTATATACTTTTATTAGGGAAGTTAAGCACCTGTCATAGGTGATGCGCATCTGTGACAAGTCGCAGGTAAGTAAATATACCATCGCTAAATTGCACCAGTTCAGTGGATCATTTGTACCAGTTCATTCGCGTCTATTTGGTACGCAAACAGTAAAAGCAAAAAAAAAAAAAAAAAACAATTTTTACTATTTTTCTACGTTTTATAAATGAATACAAAACAATAAATAATGCTTTAAAGCATAGTTTTAACTGAATTAAAAGCGAACCGTGTACTTGGTGCACACTTGCCTGGCCCGCGAAAAATCCAATCAGAAAACGAAAAGGCCAGCACGAGCACAAAATGGAAAGGTAGGTCAAAGAGTGAGCGCGCCCAGCGTACAGAGTGTACATGCCCGAAATAAAAAACGCTCGCCTGAAGGGTATTAGTGTTATTAAACATGTGAAAATAGTGAAAATTTCAATTAGCCCATAACCTCAAAAGAGTTTTGGTTTTCGCTGCTGTTATAATGTGAGTGCCTACGTATATGTGCCCGTATGCGTGTATGAGTGTATATGTAAGCATGTGTGTATGTGTGAGTGTGTGTGTGTGTGTCCGAGTGGCGCGTTGTGAAGACGTCGACGTCGACTGAAAGTGGTTGTCGCTCGTCGACGAAGAGGGCGACGAGCAGCAGCGCAGCGGACAAGGTGAGAAGCGCGAGCGCGAACGTGAACGTGAACGACAAGATCGAATGTGGAAAAACTACTTTAGAGTGGACTTCGAAAATACAAAAAAATATCGTTCTGCATGTCGCCGCCAAATATAAAAATACAAAAGGACGACCGCGGCAGACGGCCAGGCTAACAAACTTTCCCATCAGCATAAAAACTACCTAGTAATGCTGATGAAAAACACATGTAATTCGCGAGAAAGTAACACGCTGTCAGTTCGCCCCAAAACGTGAATGTGTGTGAGTGCTTGATTGCGTGTGTAAGTGGAAGCATGTGAGAGTGTATGTGTTTGCGAGTGGAAGTATGTTTGTATGAGAGAGTGGGGGAAACGGCGACAACAGCAACAGCAGCAGCAGCGGCGGCGGCGGTGGCAGCGGCAGCAATTGGAACGTGGAACCTGTCGGCGCACGTAAAAACCAGAGCCAAAAATTCAAATTACATGCATTGGGCGCGTTTTCAAATGCATAATCGCTAACACTCTTATAATTTATGCTAAACACTCGTTAGAGAGCAGAACTCTTTGCCATAACAATGGCCGTAAGCAGACACCGAACACCAGGCGAACCAATTTGATGAATAATTTAAATGGAATTATAATTTCTTAACATTTCGCAGTTAGCTTGGGAATTCCTCACATATTTTTGCATACGAAAAAGGCGAATAACATGTAAAGATGCCGACACAAACTATTCACTCACTCGCGCTCAATCAGAGCTGAGTGAAATCACTGAGTGTGATCGCCGATCACTGTGACATTTGTGCCCGATATCTAAATAGGTTGTCAAACTTGTTCAGCACAGAGAATTGTTTATACCCTTGCTAGGCATGCTGATGCAATGCCAATAGCAACAAACAATTATTTACCTAACTGTAGCAGTCAGCTGTTGCACCCAAATGAACCTATCGATATTAGTCACTGTTGCTTATCACAGTCACAGTGCCAGACGTAATCACAGCTCTGCTCATCTCTAATCTCACGCACTCTCTTTTTCTTTCTCTCTATCTCTCTCTCTCTCTCTCTCTGTCGCAGGCACTAACTAATACAACAACAAGAGCAGCAGAAACCACAATCAGGCCAGCCAGCATGTCGTGGCATTTGTGAGCAGCGCGCCAAAAACTTGTCACGAAGTTTCTTGTTATTGACGTACGCTCCCGCGCTTCGAGCCGCACTTCCCCCGTCCCCCCTCCACGCACACACACAAATACATACATATACACATACAGATTCACACCCACACATATACATATACCCACCCAGTTCTGACGTCCAATCCTTAAGTGCTTAGCTGGAGAGAAAGAGGAGGCTTATGATGCATATCAAGAGCCTGCCACACGCACATCAGGCCGCTGCGGCAATGAGCAATTGCGACATTGTGATTGTTGCCGCGCAACCGCAGACCACGAGCGCCAACAACAACAACAATGACACTGTTACACAGGCCAGCCATGTCAGCCATGTGGCAGCTGTGGCGCATGCACAGCACCAACAGCAACAGCAGCAGCAACAACAACAGCAGCAGCAACAACAGCAGCAGCAACAACAACAGCAGCAGCAGCAACAACAACAGCAGCAGCAGCAACAACAACAACAGCAGCAGCAGCAGCAGCAACAACAACAGCAGCAACAACAGCAGCAGCAACAACAACAACACAATCAACAGCCGCCCGCGCCCACAGATGTATCCCTTCCCTTCATGCATTTGAGCGGAATTTCAGCGGAGGCTCACAGTGCCGCTCAAGCGGCCGCAATGGCAGCTGCGCAGGCCGCGGCAGCGCAAGCCGCCGCTGCGGATCAACAGCAGCCAACAGCACAACCTGCACCACCAACGTCGCACACGCTGGCCCATCTGGTGGCCAATGCTACGCACAGTCCCACGCTGGGTGAGACGCACTACGTCACCAACGGCCACTCAAACAATGAGCACTCGGGCGAGGGCAACGGATCGAGCGGCAGCGGTGGCGGCCGGGAACCAGAAAAGCCGTTCCATTGCACGGTGTGCGATAGACGATTTCGCCAGCTGAGCACACTGACCAACCACGTGAAGATCCATACGGGCGAGAAGCCCTACAAATGCAATGTGTGTGATAAGACGTTCCGTCAATCGTCGACACTGACGAATCATTTGAAAATTCATACCGGCGAAAAACCGTACAACTGCAACTACTGTCCCAAGCATTTCCGTCAGCTGAGCACATTGGCCAATCATGTCAAGATTCATACGGGTGAGCGTACATTTTGTGTGGCACTTCTGATCGCCAGCTAATTCTAGCCTCTTTTGCAGGTGAAAAGCCGTTCGAATGCGTGATATGCAAGAAACAATTCCGGCAATCGAGCACGCTCAACAATCACATAAAGATCCATGTCATGGACAAGGTCTACGTTCCTGTCAAGATCAAAACGGAGGAGGACGAGGGGTGACTAGGACGCATGGCGTTGGCGCAACATCATCATCTTCAGCAGCAGCAGCAGCAACAACAGCAACAGCAGCAGCAACAACATCAACAGTCGTCAACGCCATCCCAGCAACAACAACAACAACAACACCACATCGAACATCAGCGTGGAGTTACCATTACGACGCTCCCGTCTACTACGACAGTGGCGCAACATCAGCAACAACAACAACAGCAGCAGCAGCAACAATCGCATCTACAGCCCTCGCATGGCAATGGCAGCTCGCCGCATCATCATTTCAATGTAGCCGCCTTGGGTGATTTATCCGGCGCGATGCAACTGGGCGCCGTGACGGCCGATGGTAATTTTGTGACCATGGGCGGCGTTGTAGTTGGCCGCATTCAGCATCCGCGCAGCGAGGAGCTGCATCATCTGGGCGTCATCAAAGTGGAATCGCCAACAAATGGCATTGTCAATGTGGCAGCGGCTGCCCAACGTGACGGATGAGTCGATAGGCTGCTCCTCGAGCCAATGCTCAAGGAGCTCGTTGAGCTGAATGATATTGCGTATGTGGAACTGGAGCACGATCAGCCGCAGCAGCAACAGCAGCAACGACGACGACGGCGACGTCGCCACGAAACATAGACTGTCAACTGGGTATTGTTGTCGTTGTTGTCGCTGTTGTCGTTGTTGTTGCTTTCGGTGTATACGCTTACGTTGTTGTTAGTTGTTTAATTGTAGCGAAACCTTGTTGTTGTTGTTAAGATTTAATCGTAACTGAGAACTTACCGAGATGAATTATCAGGCTCAACGCTGGCTAGCACTCATCTATTTCTAGCTCTTGAGTCTTAGCGGAAAAGTATGTGTTATATAAGCGTATTAGAAAACTGAGATGTTAGCTGCAGCTAAGCCTGAATATGTATAGCAAAACGCTTCAATAGTAGCTAAAAGAGAGGATATCGTAACCAACAGCAGCTAGCGCTCCATGGCCTAAAAAGCAAAACGAATGATCAGAAATAGAGCACACTCAACTTACACACACATACACACACGCATTCACAATCACTTAACGAGGCAATAGGTTTACAACAAGCTCCCTCTCAACCTTCTAACTATACATATACATTTAATAGCTAACTAACTGTAACTGGTAGCGCAAAACTCCTAAACAAAAAACAAAAAATAGAAAGAAAGAAAGAATGAAGTTCATTGATAAGCAAAAAGTCATTTCGTTTAAGTTGAAAGTTAAACAAAAAAAAAAATAAATAAAATAAAAGAAAAGAAAAACAAAAGAGAAAGAGAAAAATGCTTCACAAAGTGCAAACAAAAAGATTAAGGAACACTAGAAATGTTTTTAAAGATTTGTTATATATATTTACATATACTGATACGAGAGAAAAACCAGGAACTTTAATTCAAATTTTCAATTTCAAATTGTTCTTTAGCATTTAAACGTTTAAGAGATTGTTGTAAATTGTTTTAGTACGAAATTGATTCTGCTGCATTCGCTGGAAAACAGATTGACTTAGTCAACGTTGCCCAATGTCTTAATTTACTTTTGTAAAACATTAAACGCAAAAAAAAGCAAGAATAATTATAATACTTATTTTCAGTAAAATTGTAAAGCAAAATTGTAAAAATTGCAGCCATCTTAATAGGTCTTTGCTCCAAGGGCCTAACAAATCCAATTTGTTTTTAATTCTAGCCTAATTATTTAAACATTGTTCTAAGCAAACCCCAATACACATCTAAACGAAATTTTCAAATACCTTAAGTGGCAGCAGAAACAACCTATACTACATATATATCTCCCTATATATAAATATATATATATATATATATATACATAAATGCTATATAGACATTAGTTCACCTTAGTTCTTAAAAACTTGAAAGTGAGTTTTTGTTAATTTTAATTCTAAATTTAGTCGTTATAGTTTTATTTTGAAAAAGAATCAATTACAAAACAAACAAAAATATACAAAAATCAACTTTTTAATACTATTTAAATGGAGTTACAGACACACACACCCACACACAAACTATTAATAATGCTAATGTTAAACATGTAATAGAAAGCAACAAAGTTTTGTACAAAGTCCAACTCCAATTTTTTGTATGTATAAAAAAAGTAACAGACGGAGAGAAACTAAAAAAAAAAAACAAAAACAAAACAAAAGTACGAAAATATTATTTTCTAAAAATATAAAATTTTGTCTTATTTTATTTTTACATTTAAATATAACTGTTTATTTGCTGTCCAGCTTTAAGTTTTCTACGCCGACTGAAGTTTTACAACAATTTTTGTGCATTACTCAACACTAAAAGTTTAAAAAATTTGCAGCAAAAATATTTTTGTTATTTTTGCATAAAGTTCCTATATATTTTTGGGCACGCAACTAACAAAATACAAAATCCAATGTATACGAAAATATGATTTCGAAAAACAAACACAAAAACAAAAATCATAATACATAAATGCATATAAGTAAATAAATAAATGTTGATAAATGTGTAGTGTTAAACAGTGAAAGCTAGAAGAAGACGAAAAAGTAACAACATATGTAGTTAAATATAAGAGCTAAGATATATATATATATATATATATATTCTAAATAACGCTTAAAGATCGTTCAGCAATGTTAAAGCAAACAGAAAACGAAAAAGAAAAACCAACCACATTTGCTGGGTTCCATATTTTCATATTTTCATATGCAATTAATAGAGAAAATGCTTTGCATTGGCTTTTTGTATAGGCTAAAAGGGGAGGAGGAGGAGAAGGAGAAGAAATGAATTTAATACGAAGCGAACTGAGTTAAGCAAGAAAATGGAATATTTAAGTGAATAATTTCCAATTTGGCAAACTTACAATACACAAGCTAATTTGAATTGTTTTTAACAGTTGACAGCTTGCACCGTTTCTGATTAGAGAGCAATGGCAGATTCTCATTTAGCAGGCAACGCCTTGAATCGATATTAAAAATAATAAATTAGGTAAAATATTATAAATGGCACACCATCAAAAGTTAAACTATTTAATATTATTTTATTTGATTCCCCATCATTAACTAAGTTTCTCATTCTTATTAGCAATACATATGCTTACCTGCCAGCTGCTTTCTCAGTTTCTGATCAGATTTTAAACGAGAGAATTGGAGTCGTAGTGAGATTAGCAATTAAGCGCGCCTAATTTAAATAGTTGTGTGTACAAGCAAATGAATTTAGACATAAAATGAACATAGGAAACAAAACAACCAGTAACAAAGCGAATTGCTTAAAAACAAAACCGAAAAACGACACGATAATATTGTATAATTATACAAAAAAAAAGAAGGAAAATGCTATGTACTTATATTTATATGTATATATTTGCATACATATGTCTGTGTATGTGCAGTAGCTGTATTTATATGTAAATGTGTATGTAATTGTGTATTTAGTTAAAAAGAAAAACAAACATAAAGTATATATATACATATGTATATTTGCAAAAATGGAAAACACGAATGACACAGGACAAAGAAATATACGGAAGTATGGAAAAGCAAGCAATCGAGTGCATTTTTAATAGAAGCTGGGCTATTGTCTTGTAATTTTCTGGATAATATTTATTGTAATTGTTATTTCATCAATGTTTGAATTTTCGAAAATATTCGATAATAAATTTTGGTATTTATTCATAGCGAATCACTTACCGACACGCGATATATCTATTCGATAAGTTTCATACATGTAAGTTGCTCGTCTGCCCGTGAACGACCCCTTGATAAGAAGTCGCTGCTTTTTAAGCAAACGTTCTGCCAATTTTGCAATCAAGTTAATAGTTAACAATGTTCCGCCTACAACAATCACAGCCCGATCCCGCAGAGGAACAAAAGCGAGTTGCCGCTGAGGTGCGAAACAATTTTATTATGTTTGGAGCGCTGTGCATAGCCATTCGACTTGGTAAGCAAAGAAATCATGATTGACTTATGTAAATACAAGTGTTTGATTTTGTATAAAAACAGCTCCAATTGTACTGCAACACCTGAAGAATGCGTAGATGTAAGGTATTTGGAACTAGATGAAGGGCGCTACATACTAATATAACATGTAAAGATGCATTTAGCTCTTAAGCACGTGCATCATATGCGGCAGCTTCTCAATTACTTTTAATGAGCCAAAAGAGAATCAATGTTGACTATGCACACACCTTAGTGCTTCTAATAAACAGCAACTGTAACTGTAATGTAGTTAAGTCGTTTCAAACTAATAAATGAAATAAAAGTACAATTATATTAATATGAATGTTGGGCATGCAACGATTATTCTTCATATCTATATCGATATTTTTATGCAACATCGCAAGCTGCACATGGCACTTTCCAACACCAGCACGCAAGACGTCAACTTGGCCAGCACAATAAGAGAGGCGAGAAAAAAACAACAAACATTGTATAAACAGTTGGCAGCTAGCGAACAGACGTATATTAAGAGTGGGCAGCAGGCAAAATGAAAACGTAAAAAACAATAATCGCACCCGGCGGCTGACTCAAGTAATTGCTAAAGTTAAATAGATAACAACGGCCGACAAACTTTGCCAAAGAGAGAGTGGAATTCAACAATAGCGTGCAGTACTCACGAATTGCAGCATATGGAACAGTAAAGTTAGCGATAAGGGCGTTAGGTACTCTCCGACCTGGCCATTTGTTAATGTACGTTGCAATAATTAGTTTCGTCGCCCCTCGGGCGTACAGATTCTATAACTAGATAATGGTTGCTCCCAAGTATGAACGTCTCTGCACCGGCGACGGCGACGTCGACGCTGGCAGCGACATCGACGGGGGCAGCAACGTCGAGGAGCTCGAACTGAGCGCCGACTTGACCCATAAGAATGCCAACAACATTCAAGAGCGTCACCAGCTGTCGTCGCATGCGAATTTTCAATACGCAAAGAACAACAGCAACGGAGACACAGCCACGTCTGCACAGCAGAATCATTCACATCCCCACGACGGAATGACGAGACATGCAGAGGCTCGATTCATGCAGATGGCGATCGGCACGTTGGCCACTATTCTGCTCTATTTGTCGCTGTCCATCACGCTCACCTTCTATCAGACGGATATCAATCGCGAGCTGCCCTTTCCGCTCACCATTGTCACGTATCATTTGATTGTGAAGTTTCTGCTGGCTGCGCTAGTGCGCAGCATCTATAAGATGCGTGTGGGCAAGACGCGCGTCCAGCTGGACTGGCGAGTGGCGGTGCGTCGCATGGCGCCAACGGGCGTGGCCAGCGGCATTGATATTGGTTTCTCCAATTGGGGCCTTGCCCTGGTGCCCATCTCATTGTATACAATGACCAAATCGTCGACAATTGTATTTATATTGCTGTTTGCCATATTGCTTGGATTGGAGCGCAAGGTGGGTGACGGCCTCGAGTACGATAATTACTATAAATATAAATATTTGGATGCCTTTACAGAGCTGGTCTTTGGTTCTTATAGTCGGCCTCATCGGCTTGGGTCTGTTTATGTTTACTTATAAGTCGACACAGTTCAACACGCTGGGCTTCTTGTTTATTCTGTTCGCTTCACTGAGCAGCGGCGTACGCTGGAGCTTTGCGCAGTTCATAATGCAAAAATCGAAACTGGGTCTGCACAATCCGATCGACATGATCTACCACATGCAGCCTTGGATGATTGTGTCGCTGTTTCCGCTAGTCCTAAGCATTGAAGGTAAGTATTAGAGTAGTCCTTATCGAATCTAAAGCCATAAGTAAGCCTATTCCTTATTGCAGGACCCAAGTTGTATGCTGCGCTGCAGAATTTGCACAATACGCCGGAGAGTGACATTCTGTGGGTTCTGGCCCGCATTACACTGGGCGCATTTATTGCATTTTTCATGGAGGTCAGCGAATTTTTGGTTCTCTGCAAAACATCCAGTCTGACGCTGTCCATAGCAGGCATCTTTAAGGACATATGCCAGCTAGCGCTAGCCGTGGCGCTGAAAGGCGATCAACTCAGTCCCATAAACCTCGTGGGCTTGGCGGTTTGCTTAGCTGGCATCGCTTGTCATCTGGTGCATAAATATTCCACCCTGGCAAAGGTAAACAAGCAACAGTTGGGCATGCAGTTGGAGGAGGATGGCGAGGATATGTGCTCCGAGTATGACTTCAACAATGGCAACGCTATTGTTGGCACTCATGGCAATGCTTCTGGCTCTCATGGCACACTCACTGTCCCGCTGCTGGAGCAGACCGACTCGGAGGATGAATCGGCTAATGATTCAACAAACAAGCAAAACGCATCGGATGTCATTTTCGATGTGCTAAAACGGCGCGACATGCAGCGATGAGTTGGCTAATTGATTACCTAATCAACCGACTGTAAAGGCAAGCAGCAATGCATAGCATTTTATTTATACTTCTATTCCAGACTTTCTGGGAAAGTACCCGAACAGTTGTGATTGTATGCGTGTGACTGTCTGCCTGTGGTTATGTGTGTGTGTGTGTGTGTGTGTGTGTGTGTGTGTGTGTGTGCGTGAGTGCGTATTAGATGTGCAGCTGTCTGTCCTCTCGACAGCCGTCTTGTAAATGTTGTATATTCAGAAAGCTTACTACTTAGTGAAACACTTGAATTACATTCAGCTATTACCTAGCATTATTATTGAACATATGTAAATGAATCGATCTGTTTGCTTCTAGTTTCGATTACAAATGCTCTCACTGGCTCAGTCCGTCTGTCCTCGATTGTCTCGATTGTAATTTCCCTTTCATTATGATATATACAAATAATGCTCTTCCGCGTAAAAGCGGAACGCCATATGCGCGGCCATAAGAACAAATGTTCGATGGAAACAATTGAATACCTGCTGTCTGCAAGGGCATTTGTATTTCGGTCTACCGGCCTTTTTGTATTGCTCACATTCCCCCCACTCCCAAATCTTTTATTTTTATTTGTTATTGACCTAGTTAAATAAGAGTTTAGTATTTGTTTTGTTGATTGGGCATTTGTGCATATTCACCTAACTTTCCATTAGAGATTATTTACGATACAAAAAAGAAAAGAAAACTGTCTTAGCATTTTTACTATTGAAATAAACGGCCTATATATATGTACGATTAAACTGGCAACTATATAAACAATTTTTTTAATAACTATACATTTCTTAAACATGCATTAACATTTATAATGCTCTGTATCAAAGAAAACCATGTATTTAAAATTACAGAGTTCTTAATAAAAATTGTAAGTGTATTTAGTTGTTTGTATACCTTAATTATATTACATAATTATAAAGAACAGTTACGGCCATGTAGCTAATGCAATTATTAAAGAAATAATGCAGAGCGTCAGGCATGACTTGCTTTAGTTTAGTTTACCTGGCTAATCGCGTCGAACAGCTCTCAATGTCGCCCTTAAATTGTTGGATACTTGGATGTTGCATTGCCTTGCTATTGATACAATGGAAGCGCATGTCATTAAAAGATGATGATAATGAATATTTGATGGAGACTCTGAACAAATTCTTAGTTCCTCGTTGGCTTGGCTCCACTGGCCACGAGGATGTCAATGAATTTCTCGTGGAAGAGTTGACTCGGCTGGGCTTTGCCATTATTCGCGATGACTTCTTCGACGTATTTGCAGCGACTAATGTGATCGGCGTTTCGAACATGGAAGCGAAGCAATTCCTGCTGCTCAGCTGCCATTATGATTCGAAATATTTGGAGACAAAACAGTCTTATGTCGCGGCTACGGATGCTGTCCCCTGTGCCATGCTATTGACTATAGCCGAGGAGCTAAATGACTTTTTACATCAGGAATTTGCCAATAGCCCAGATCTTGGTTTGGTAGTGAGTAGAAAGATTATTTCACCTGCAAGCGGCGCGTATTAACATAATAGATATTGTCTTTAAGCTGGCATTCTTCGATGGTCATGAATCTATTGATGGTGACCTAGATCCGAGTCCGTCGTTGCTGGGCTCGAGCAACTTTGTACGAGGGGAAACCATAGCATTAAATAAGATCGTGAGTTACTTCAGTTAATAACTAGTAGAATACATATACATATGTACATATATATTTTTGTTTTCTTTGAGTTCACAGAATTTAGTTATTTCATTCAAATTGATTGGCGCAGCAGATCAAATATACATGAGCAAATATCAACGTACATACGCATTACACGAGCGCCTATCGGATATTGAGCAGGAGTTGCGCATTTCCGGGGATCTTAGCAAGTGTCATCAGTTGTTTCACAAGCTCAAGGATCATAACAACGATATAAATGATGATCACATATGCTTTTTGGAAAAGGGTTAGTTTTATATATAAAAAATGTTCATGCTTAAATATATAAACAAAATTCAACTTAAATAGGATTACCAGTCATGCATATAGTGCCCTATACTTATCCAGAGGTCTGGCTTCAAGAAGCGGATAACCTGGATAACTTACACTGGCCGACCATTCGAAATATGAACTTAATTATTAAGCAATTTGTGTATGAATATCTAAGTAATAGAACGTTTAGAGCCTATTAAATTTGCGGATTGGTATTAAATAAAGGAAACACATACTTGCGCCAAGATTGCTTTAAAATTTTAAAATATTCCAATCAATAGATATCCGACTTGTAATAGCGTTAGTGGCGCCATGGTTTGAAACATCGATACATTATAAACGATAGTTAACCGACGTCTATCGATTATGCGCGATAGCAGCGAAATGCAACTTTATATTATGCAGCTGCCGCAGTCTGTGTTAGCCGCCTTCCCGCGCATTTTATGCTGGATTAGGTAGATTTTGTCTTTATGCTACAACCACCAAAGATTTTGGCTATTTGGTTTTTCACTCGCCCAAAAACCACTGTAGCAATCGGTCGCACCACCCAAGCCAAGAGTTCGCAACACATAAATTCCATTGTGAGTATACCACACGCATCGATAATATTTTGGCGCTATACCTAACCTTACATACACAAGTAGCTTGCACACACACATATTTAGATATACCTACACACATACATTTATATTTACATTTATAGATTCATGTTATATGTTTTTTTTAGTTTTATAAAATAAAATTGTGAAATTGATCAGTGAACCCATAACAAAGATGCCACGACGCAAGATACTCGCAAACAACAATAACTCCGAGGAAGATAAGGCGGTGCAGCCCACAAGAGCAAAAAGAGCGCGATTGGTTTTCCATCTGGACTTGCCGGAGCGTCGTCAGATAGTTGGCAATGTGTTAGTCTGTGGCACTGGCGATACCGGTCAACTGGGTCTTGGAGAGGATGTACTGGAACGCAAGCGTCCGGCCATCGTTGAGAACATACCGAATCCTGTGGATATCTGTGCCGGCGGCATGCACTGCTTGGTGTTAACAAAGTCGGGCGATATCTACTCGTTTGGCTGCAATGACGAGGGTGCGCTTGGCCGCGACACCAGCGAAGAGGGCAGTGAATCGCTGCCAGCACTCGTCAATTTGCCCGGCAAAGCCCTTCGCATTTCGGCGGGCGATTCGCATTCGGCTTGCCTTCTGGAGGATGGACGCGTCTTTGCCTGGGGCTCGTTCCGAGACTCGCACGGCAACATGGGCCTAACAATTGATGGCAACAAGCGCACGCCCATTAATCTGCTCGATGGCATGATATGCTGCAGCATTGCCTCTGGCGCCGATCATTTAGTTATACTCACCACGTCGGGCAAGGTCTTCACCGTGGGCTGTGCTGAGCAAGGGCAACTGGGACGCATTTCTGAGCGTTCAGTTGGAGGCGAGGGTGAGTACAGAGCTTCAATGTGACGCGTGCCATTTTTACTATATTATGACTTTATTTCCGTAGGTCGTAGGGGTAAACGCGACTTATTACGGCCGGATCAGCTAATTATCAAGCGCGCCAAGCCCTTTGAAGCCATTTGGGCCACAAATTATTGCACATTTTTGCGTGAATCCCAAACGGGGGTGATCTGGGCCGTGGGCTTGAACAACTACAAGCAGCTGGCGCACGCAAAGGAGGCCGAGCGTGTTTTGATACCCATTAAAACCAATTTAAAGGACATCAAGCAGATTGCGGGCGGGCAGCATCATACCCTGGTGCTGGACAATTCAATGCGCTGCTTCGCCATTGGGCGTCCAGACTATGGACGCTTGGGTATTGGCGACGTTAAGGAAGTGGTGTCCGAGCTAATGCCCATTAAAGAGATCAGTGGGAAGACCATATTTGTTGGCTGCGGCGAAGCTTGTTCCTATGCCATAACCAATGATGGTAAACTATATTCCTGGGGCATGGGCTCCAATAATCAGTTGGGTGTGGGAGATGGCGACGATGAGCTGGTGCCAGTTCCTGTCGTCAGCAAGAATACACAGAACAAGCGGATGCTATTGGCAGCCGGCGGTGGGCAGCATAGTGTGTTTTTGGTCGAGTCGGACGAGACGGAGAAGCAAAAGGAGAATGTGCCAGCCAGCAAGAAGCCGAAGGCAGCTGCCGTCGAAGCGGCCAAGGAATCGACAGAAACGGAAATTAAGGAGAAGGAGAAGGAGACGGTGGATTTGAAAACCGAGACAGTTCCGCCAAAGGGCGATGACAGTAAGACTGGCAAAAAGACATCATCCAAACGCGGACGCAAGAAGGATTAATGGAGAAACGTTAGTTAAATGTTTCCAATTGTTTTGTTCTTCAAAAGTCGCATTACTATGATGCGCAGCCTATAAACACTTATTAATTAAGCCAACTGAATAAAATGTTGTAACTGATTTTGTTTTTTAAATATAGTAAATTTATATATGTATTCGCAAAATAGCACAAAAAGCTATTGCAAAAAGTGAAACAAACCGAACTAAAACATTTATTTACAAACTAATCAACTTGTGTTTTAATTTATATCATAATAATAGTAATTACATTATAATTTACATATATCAATACATACATCATACATCATCAAGAACTAGATAATCATTGTTTCACAAGCGGCTACTAAAGATAAATTTCATTTGATACTAGACCCTACGACCCTCAAAGTAGTTAAATATATAGCAATGAATGCATATATATGTTTGTATTTATGTATATGATTGTGAATGCAAATTGGTAGAGAAGCTGTCTATTCGCTGAATCTTTCAAATACAATACACATTTAGGTTGGCCATATCCATCAATTGTTTTCGTATAAATATTTCCATATACAAAATATATCAGTGTAACATATATACATATACATATAATTTTTGTCTTCCGTATATATATATTTATATATATATAGATATAGATATTTGCCAACTACATAAAATATGAATCGGCTGGGTCACTGCCGGGTGTCGATGCATAGTTGATCGCTGTGGTCGCATCCATCGACAGAGCTGTTGTTGCTTCTATTGCGGTTGTTGAATGACTTGGAGCACCACTGTCGTCATTTTGGCCATCATAATTGCAGCCCAAATAGAAGCTTAAGAATAGAATACAGCAAAGCACGGAAAGCGACAGGATCACACGCGCTATTTTGCGTGCGAATGCAATAAGACCAAGAAGATGACCGCCATTAGCGACACCGCCGCCCATTTGACTGCCAATGCCTTGACTATTTCGCACCGACAATTGCAGATGAGCCAAGAGTAACGTCTCCAAGCAATGGATGTCATCATCTGTGTAGTCCAAACCGAGGCTTAGGTCACAAATGCAGCTATCCTTATGCAGATTATAGTCATTGTTAATTTTGTTAATATTATTATTAATGTTTTTGTTTTTGTTGTTGTTGTTCTGATTTGGTTGGTCGTGGCTGGCAGTGGCATCGTCTCTCAAGGTCAGATTGCATTGAGACAGTAAATATTATTTGCGTTTGGGACACGTGTATGCTGGGGCTTTACGGCAACTTCCGCCAGCTGGCGAGTGTTTTATCATCTGCTCATACATAAGAAAACCGAACCCAATAAATAGCAACAACAATAGAGCCAATGTGGCATATTGTAAATGTTTTGTAAAATTCAATTGAGCTTCCATTTTTTGGGCTTGCTCCTGAAATTTGTCTGCACCAAATTCCTGTAATAAACCAGAAAAGCGATATATGTATGTAGAATAATAAAAGGTATAAAAACCTCAAAAATAATACAAAATATATATATGAACATACACTACTACTGCTATCGCTCTTCATGTTTGTGGTTTTTGCACATTCGGATTTCTCGTCCATACGACATACGAGACGGAAGGTTTCCACATCTGGATCTGTTGAAGATTTCGCTCTCCACATATCTGCAACAGCTTGTGAGCCGCATTCGGAATCTGAAGTGCAAGTTGCCATAACAAGGAATTTGTCTTTTCCATCGCTGCTCAGGATCTGATCAGATTTAAGCCAAATGTGCACTTCGGTTGATTCATTTTGGGGTATTATACCGCAACGGGGACGCACGCGAAACTTTTCTGGTGATGTTGTTTGTATCTAAAAGGGATATATAATGCTCATCATTATTATCATATTTCAAAATGTATTAATCTTAAGTCACCTTATAGACCACCGGTTTATTGCAAATGTTTCTCAGCGACACCTTCGCCTCCCCATTATCTTTGCAAATATTTACAAATTCCTTGGGCTCCAATTGCAGCATAACTGGACAGCAGATACAATATGTGTATGTAGATGGGGAAATAAATTGTACGTGGTCTTAATCAAACTATAAAATTTTTTTTCCAAACTTTTGCTCAAACTAAATAATAAATTTACATTAGGTGATATAACTGATTGTGAAGTCAATGTTTGTGTTTTGTCAACGTTGTATAAATGATAAATCTGCTCACATACATAAAGCATTTATATACTTAAGTATTCATATACAAAGCGAAATGCTTACCCAAATCCGATGGCGTGTGAAGCTTGCCGTTGCTTGAATCGTGAGGCGCCATACGAACGCTATTGGAGAAGGTAACCTGCCAAAGAGAACGACACACAGACAATGGAAATTAATTGAAATTGAGATGCCTTTGGTCAGCCCATGCTCATGGCATGAAAATTATCATCAATCGATTCATGCTGAGCTTTGCTATTTTCACGAGTGCCCATTCTAACACTTCAGGGCCTCACTTGACAACACAATGGAAGGCCGTTTTGCGAATTGGTCTAATTTACTTTGAGACAACTTATGCACCTAATATTTGCCGGATAACGGGGCTTCATAACTGCATTTATATATGCTGTTTTTCTCTTCTGGAGAAGCCAGAGTTTATTCAACTGACTTATTTATTTTGTTTTCCATAACTTTGTATGTGGAAGTCATAAGAATACCTTAGTTGTTATAGCCGACACTTTGAGACAGTGAAATTTAATCTCAGATACAAGATAGTTTTATATGCAACTTAAATGTTTATCTACTGCAAATTGAGATGCATGTTATGTTAAGCTGCTGTTATTTACAGTGATTATCGCAGGAATTTAAACGTTGCGATATAAACACATATCGATATAAATATATATTTAAAAATAGCTGCGAATCGTTATTGTAAAAATGGAGAACTTGTTGCAGTAGCTCCACTAACCATAGAACACATTCTATGGTTACTGGTAGCTCTCAAATATAATGCAATCTCAATCACATGCCTATTTACTTTTCTGAATAACATCAAATATTAAATAATTAAGATGCTATAAATTAATTCACATACACTTACATTGGTGAATATGGAAGCATATCCTCCCTAACTCTTAAAAACATAAATATATTTTAAAGAAATAGCCTTAGCCTTGTATATATAGTCAGAAAATATAGTTAGAAAATCTCAGAAAGTGAAAGAGTGAAGCAACTATAAAACTATTTTGTATCGATATTTACGGCGAAATACACAAAGTGACGTAGCAATGAGCAATAGATTACGCACAGCATCTGGGAAAATGAATAGAATCTAGACAATTTTAAAAACAAATGTGCAATTATGGATTTAACAATAGATTTGTAGACAGACAGAAATGCGTGAAGAAGCTACGCAAGGTTAAATTAAAATCTACTCATTTGGAATAACAATTAGAATTCGTTTTCGTTTTATACACTTCCATTTGTTGTCGTTTCTGTGCTTTGTTTGGCATTAACAGCACACCTATGATCACCAATACGCCAATACATGCACACACGCACGCACATACACTTCCATATTGGTCGAAGCCACCTACCTTAGGCATGTTTGCGGAAGAATAATATATGAACGGTGTTGTCTGTTGTCTTCTGATTTCTTTTGCTTTCTTTTCAACGTTCTGTAAATGTATTGTAGCTTCGTTATGTATATACAGAAAGCTTAATGCGGAAATATCAGTGGCAGATATTAAGTTAATGCAATTATATTTCGGGCAACCGATGACGTCGCGCCAACATACCGCGACAAACGTGGACACACAACTAAAACCAACAACACAAAAACGCACAAAAGACTAAACACAAAAGCTCGCTGCCTTTCAAAAAGCTCACGCACTGCGATCAGCCTCTGCGAACAAACAGCTGTTCGTCTGACTAGCCGATTGCAGCCGTAGCACTGCAAATTGCAATTCGTGTTAATTGAATTTACGAGTCAGCGATGAGTATGCGGGCGGGCGAACAATAGCCGAATAAAGTGAAAATGAGAATGAGAATAAATAATTTGCCTAATGCTGCGCGCTGGGAATTAATCAACATGTATGCCGTGAGTGTTCTATTTATTTTTTCTTTTCACAGGTCAACGCCTCACAACACTTCGCTGACCACTGCGGCCAAACGAAAGCGAAACTTTTGCTATGCGTCTATGGAATTTCTATTAATAGCAAATAGAATGGCCAACGCAGGACACGCAATCCGTTGCGCACCCTGAATCAATATCAAGCTTTTAATGTAAATCAATTAAGAGACCAACTCGCGTGTTCAGCTGGTCAGGAAATTCAATTAACAGACAAACTTCCTGGACTGTCCAGCTACAGACTAAACACACCTAAAAACAATTTAACTTTCGGCTCTTGGGCCAGGGGATTTCGTGGGTCACCTACCTTCTTATCCAAACCCATTTCATCATGGGGCTGGTCGTCGTCACCGGCATTGGCAGCTTTCGGCTTGGCTAGCGCACGCTTGGGCTCTGGGACAAATTGAAACTCGTAGCTGTCGCTGCCTCCCCAACTGACCAGACAATTGTCCTTGGGCACATACTGAGTGACGTCCTTCTTTGATATCATTTTCAATATCTCAACCGCTTTGGGTGGCAACAGTGTCTTAATGACCTTGAATGCGGCTAAACATAGGTAAAAAAGAAGAAGAGAAAAGCTCATTTCGAAAGTTCAAAGTGTAATAAAAAAAAAGTTATTTTTACCATTCAACACCCAAGCCAGCTCGAAGACCAATATGTAATTAAGCGAATTGGGATAGTAGAGCTTGAATGTCTCCACAATACGCTTGACAAAGTCCAGATCCATGGTGGCCAAGCCTGTGCCGGCCATGTCAAAGAATATGCTCAGCTGGGTCATATGAGTCTCGCGCTGCTTTCGCTCAACCCAGTAGACCACAATGCGTATCAATTCATCCACATTCTTGGTTTTGCTATGCAACTTGACGCGAAATATGAGCAACGGCTTCCCGTCTACATCGTGGCTATGCACGAACACAGATCCCTCATTCAGATACTGTTGATTGAGCTTGTCTTCAGTCAAATCGTTTGCGCCGTAGGACTGACGCCAAATGCACGTATCCCAGAGCTTCGTAAAGGATGTCTCCATATCCAGATCGTACATTTCCAGAAAACGTTGCAACCAAACATGGTCGTTCCGTATGCGATCGAGGTCGACGGGATGAAAGGGGACTAAGAGCAAAAAAAAAGCAACAGTTAATGAAGTGGAAAATATTTAAAGTTGTTTTCCATTGAACTGTGGCCCTTCCTCAAAAGATCAGTAGTAATTTCTGAAGATCAACTGAAGGTTGACAATTCTTATATGTATACATATATCTTTTATTTACAGCCGACTGTCGCGACGCGTCGTATTTATAAGGTAAATAACGGAAAAATCGCAATATTATTTTAATGACGGTGAATAATTTTCCATAGACGGCGATATACGACTCCTTCAATCTGACTCATTTAAAATATGCTGTAAATATGTATAGAAGCAATAAAACCTATATACATAGCACTTGGCTAGCGAGCCAGTCCGGGTTGCTTACATCTCAGTGAACTAGTTGACCCTGAGCCGGGCAAGGGCAGGTAAGGCCAGCCCAGGCCAGTTGGCTGCACTTTGTAATTTCATTAACTCACCTGTAGGCGGCGCCTCGGCGTATTTTGTATTGAAGCGCTGTCGCAGCTCCTCAATCTGCGCAGTGGTTGGGACTTTGACTTTAATAGCCATGGTTAGCACTCGATAGCTGGCGACAAGTGTCAGCAGCAACTAAACATTGAACTATTTTAAGTTTGTTGTTTGTGCGCTTATCGCTCACCGCGTTCGTTTGTTAATCGATAATCCACTTTCTCAGTACGATAAAGCGATAAGATTTCAATTTCCATAATTTCCAAGCACCACACAACAGCCGCCAGCGACAAGCGACAAGCAACGAATGCAAGTACTTTAGCCGAACCGACTCTGGCTAACTAACGGTCGATCGCCAATTGGTAATCGAATGGCGTACGCGTCTATGTGGAGCACCAATACACCCAATGGAACGCCTTCAAAAGGGCAGCGCTCTGCTGCCACTGCTGCTGCTACTTCTGCTACTGCTGCCATTGCTGCAATAGAACGTGATCGTCGCCCTATGCTGGCTGCATTTAAATGAGTTTAGCTTTGAGTGAAAAGCTCGTCTGTGCGAAATCAATGAAAGCTTGCGCTCAAATCGTTGCACTCAAATAAGTATGACACTAATGAAATACCCGGCAGGTGCGTTTATTTCTCTTTCATTTATTTATAGTTTTTTCATATTTAATATATATATTTTATTATATTATATTATTAGTAATTTTCATTTTTACATTTTCCTAAATTCTAGTTTCTTCTATTTGCATATTATTGCATTATTATTAAGTTTAAAATTTAATGAAAATCTGTACTTTGTAAAAATTATTTAGATTTATTCATTTTTTTTTTTTTTTTTACAAACATACTTTTTTGTTTGATTATATAATTTAGTTAATAATATATTTACTAAATAATTTATTCACACTTTATTCCTACTGAAGTTATGTGATTTATTGTCAAGTCCTCAATGGTTATAAATCAAATTTGATATTTCGTTCGCCTGGATTATCTGTTATAGCTGTTCATTATTGATAAGATTATGGTCGTATTTCGGGAATATTTTTTGAATATAAATATATCAAATATCAAATCCAATTGGTTATTCTGGTAATAAAATATATATTATTGATGCATAGCTTTAAGTATGTAGCATATATACAGTTAGCGTTTAGGCTGATTCAAATTTAAACTTATAGTCATCATTCCCGCCCCAGATCTTCAGGCAGTTATCCTGATTCACATACTGTTTAATGTCCTTTTTGGTGGTCACGCGCAGTATTTCCAAAGCGTCTGCTGGCATGAAAGTTTTCACCACTTTGAACGCCGCTAAAATAAATGAGAAATGGAAAATTAGAATTCAATTATAACTATAGTCGCAAAAGTCTGAGTCACCGTTGAGCAGGAAGGGCAGCTGGTGCACGATGATGTAGTTGGGCGTGTAGGGGTACTTGGTCTCGAACAGGTTGATGATTGCCTTGATAAAGTCCAAGTCCAGATTGCTCAGTCCCGCATTGGTCATATCCATGAAGAGGGTCATCTTCTGTAGATAATCCTTGCGCTGTATGCGCTCCACCCAGTAGACAATCAGGCGTATCAGATCGTCCTGATTCTTGCTCTTCGAGTGCTTGGAGAAGTCCACAATGAGCAAGGGCTTGCCCTCATGATCCTGATTGTGCACATAGATTTCGCCATCGTTTAGATACTCCTGATTCACATCCTTCTCAGTAATATTGTTTGTACCGTAACTCTGACGCCATTCGCAATTCTCCCACAAACGCGTTATGGTCTTCTCTACGTCCAGCTTATAGGCCTCCAGCAGCACTGTTATCCAGATATCGTTATCATTGATACGAGCCAAGTCACTGGCATGAAAGGGCACTGCAAATGCACACACATATTAAACACAATTCGGATTAGCTTTGAGCCCATCCTACCTGCCGGCGGCTCGGACTTTAGCTTAGCCAGAAAACGAGTCTTCACCTCGTTTACTTGCTCTGCGCTGGGCTGTGGTCCTGTGGGCATTCTGACTAGTGCAACTTGCAGCTGAAATTGGGCAAATGGCTAATTGGTTTTGGTATACCATGTATTTATACACAACCGCACAAAAACTGGACAATTATCGCTTTGCTACTGTACTCGATCACTGATAAGCTATAAAAGTCTCGTTCTCCAACACTCACTGATGACTCGCCCGAGCGCATGCCAATCAAAGACTAACAGCTGCAACTGGAGCAAGTGAAAGATAGAGAGGGAGAGAGAGACTGATTGAGCGAACTCTAGATACTCGATTGGTGTTTCAATTGAAGCAATCCTCTCTCAGCAATCGTGTGCGCCGAGCTCAGTGAGATCATTTATGCGGACAACTCAATGCGGGAGGCAATCGCAACAGAACCGTTCTTCAATCAATCTAAATACAGAAACATTACAGAAGAGATAAACAAAGAGAGAGAGTGGGTCTGACAGAGAAAGAGAGAGTGAGAGAACGAGAGGGAACGAGTGATAAACAGGCAGAGCCGACAATTGCGATAAGATGGGAACAAACGTACACAAACCCGCAGACAGGCGAAACAACTATTAGACCCGATTCCTATATATGTATATATAAATTTCTTATTCTTGTATATAATATTGATATGTATGGTTACGTAAGAAACTGGAAACTGATTAAAAAATATTTTCATACAGCTGTTCCACAAAAATAAATTAATAACCGTCATTTGTAAAAAATATCAATATTTTTGTTTTTAATTGAAATTTTATATTTTGTTCTCTTTTATTTATTTTTTTGTTTTTCTTTATAGTTTAATTCTTGCAGTGTATTGATACTTTTCCGCTTTTTCACATTTATTCGTTACTAACTTACAATATTGTTTATTTTTAATGTTCGCTAGTTTGGAGAACATTTGTCCAGCTGCTTAACGAATAACATTTGCACATAAAAATTAATGTATGTACATATAATATTTATATATAGAATATATAGTTGCTTTTTGTAGAATTTTGTTCTCTTTCTTTCACTTACAACACATTTTTTGGGCATTCAATGCTTGCCAATTCCATATTTGTTTTATTACCACTTTTCGCGCAATTTGGCTAATCAACTAAGGGCGCTCTGTATTTGCTTTGTTGACATTGGTCGGCAAATAGGACAATAACAATTTACATATTGAAAGCTCCTTGTGGCTTGCCTCCCCGCCCACAGCTCTGTGGCTGGCATGGCATTTGGGCCATCGTCGAAAAACTTTCGCTGGCGTTGGCCCAGTTGTGTTGTTTACGTGAAAACGTGCGCGTGAAACGCCGTCGTCGCCTCGTCTGCCATTTGGTCCAATGCGGATGCAGTGCAGCAGCAGCAGCAGCAGCAGCAGTAGCTGAGTTAACCAAATCCAGTTCCAATCATGAAGTTCGCCGAGCATTTGTCGGCGCATATAACGCCAGAATGGCGCAAACAGTATATTAACTATGAGGTAAAAGAAAAACGCGCAAACTGTGTGCGAAAATCGAGAAGAAAAATATGTATCTCATAGATATATGCAAGCGTGTGCTTTTCCGAGCTGTCAGTTTCTCGGTGACGTCACGTGAGAAACGGCTGGCCAGCTGTCAAAAATGCCAAAGAGCTTTTGGCGTGCGGCGTATACGGCGCATGCGCTCTGCTCGCTCCTCCATCGGGTGTTTTGTTGTGGTCTCCTCAAACGTAAACAAACAGACGAGAGTGTAAGCAAAACAGTGTATGGGAAAAGTAAATGAACACAGTCAGCAAATCCATCTCAATTCTAGAAAATAATATTGAAATAGATGAAAAATGGAAGAAAATTTGCAAATATATTTAACAAATTATTTGTAGTGATATTTTTTTATGACAATAATAAAATACGAGTCCAATAATTTGGCACACAATATGTGCATACAGCTATGGATTCATTTGCTGACTTTTCTTTAAGTATTTCTTCTAAATATTTCTTCTAAATATTTCCTCTTAATATTTCCTCTAAATATTTCCTCTAAATATTTCCTCCAAGTCTTTAATGCTTAGCTGAACGATCACACAGTTTACTTAACTTCACATGACTTTCACCAGGACTGGGCGACTGAAGAAATGCTGTAGCTGCTGCCCTTTATATAGGGCGACTATCACTCACACACTGAGTCGTGCTCAGATGTTGAGCCCGACGACAGGTAGAGCTCGTTGTAGTCGACCAATGGTAGCGCTCTCTGACGCTGCAAGCATTCTAGCCTCTCTTTACTCAAATATATGTACTGCATACTTATAGAGAATATAAATGATCGGCTGTAAATCTTCTTCGTCCCTTGCTCTTGTTAGGCCGACAGACGGAGAGACAGATGGAGAGATAGACTGTGAGAGACAGAGCGATAGATGTACAGACATACATACAAACAAAGAATATATATGATCGATTGGGTTAAATGGTTAAATAAAAAGCTTATATACAGTAATATTTATAATAATATATACATATATATATATATATATTCATTCAAATAGGCTACCTCTAGCCTGAAATACGCTAAGCTGGCAGCACTGCTCGTGACTAGTTCCTTTTGAACCGATACATGCTTAAAAGTTATCGATTTCCTGATCGACTTATTCCCTTTGGTTGCAGGAAATGAAGGCCATGTTGTATGCCGCCATTGAACAAGCTCCTTCCGCGGAACTTGTGGATCGCGAGATGCTCACACGCTACTTCGCCAAGTTCGACGAGGAGTTCTTCCACTACTGCGACAAGGAGCTGGCCAAGATCAATACGTTCTACTCGGAAAAGATGGCGGAGGCAACACGCAAATATGGCAACCTGCGCAGCGAGCTGACCGAGGCACTGGAGATGGGCCATGTGAAGAAGCAGCCGGCCTGGAAGCGGCGCACACCGCTGGGCAAGAAAAATGTGCCCGCACGCAAAATACAGGATCTCAAGTTGGCATTTAGTGAATTCTATTTGGGTCTGATACTGCTGCAAAACTATCAGAATCTCAATTTTACGGGCTTCCGCAAGATACTCAAGAAGCACGACAAACTGCTCAGCGTGGATTACGGAGCTCGTTGGCGCACGGACCATGTGGAGGCGGCGCATTTCTATACCAACAAAGACATCGACAGATTAATACAGGAGACGGAGCAGGCGGTCACACAAGACATCGAAGGCGGCGATAGACAGCGTATGCAATGCAAAATATTATAATACAATATATAATTAAAATATTACCTTTTGCAGGTGCCATGAAGCGTCTGCGCGTCCCGCCGCTCGGCGAGCAGCAGAGTCCATGGACCACATTCAAGGTGGGCCTCTTTTCGGGCGCCTTCGTTGTGCTCTTCTTTACCGTTGTCATATCAGCCATGTTCTATGGCTTTGGTGAGAATTGGCGCGTTGGGCTGCGCATGTTCCGAGCGCCTTTTCTGATCACGGAATGCCTCTTCCTGTGGGGCGTCAATGTCTATGGCTGGCGCTCGTCGGGTGTGAATCATGTGCTCATCTTTGAGCTCGATCCACGCAATCATCTCTCCGAGCAGAACATCATGGAAATCGCCTCGGTGTTCGGTGTCATTTGGGCGTGCAGCGTGCTCTGCTATATATTCTGCGAGCCCCTGGGCATTCCACAGTATGCGGCTCCATTGTTCCTCTACACCCTGATGGTCGCCTTTCTGCTCAATCCCACAAAGACGTTTCACCACGAGGCTCGCTACTGGGCGCTGCGTGTGCTCGGTAGAGTCATCATGGCGCCGTTTTGCTTCGTCAATTTCGCGGACTTTTGGCTGGCCGATCAGCTGAATAGCATAGTGCCAGCCTTCCTGGACATACCCTTCCTTATGTGCTTCTTCGGCCGGAATCCCACATGGCACAAAGCCGGCGAGGGTGAGTAATTGGGTCGGCTTCAAAAATATTCCAAAATAAATTATGCTAATCAGCATAAGAATCGAAAGTCTAAACCAAATAATGCAAAATAACTCTGCTCAAAGTACAACAAGAAAAAATATATTTCATTAATATTAATTTCTGCTGCTATATGCCGTTCAAAGTTGAGTAAGATAATAGAAGAAATTATAGACCGACTGGAAAATACCCTGTGGACAGCAGCTAATGCTAAAATTCTACTTAATGTTTAATAATTTCTTCATATATATGTACATATATTGTAAATACATACTTTAAAGTGCGGGATATGGAATGGAATATGAAATTATTCTATTGAGCTTTGGCTCTAAATTAGCAGTATTAATGAAGTTTTTAAAGTATATTAAAAGCATTCAAATGCAAATGTATAGTGCCTCAATTTGAATAAATTAACCCAAAACCCATTCGCCCTAAATTTCTACGTTCAATGAGTAGAAAATTCACGTAAAATTTCCGTGAAATTTTATTCAAAAGTTAGCAAAATATTTAAGCAAAAGCTCTTCTGAATTTCGTAAAATTCGCCTGTAATTGCATTTTAATTCGCAGAAAATGATATTAAAAGTAAAAATTTTCTCAGACATGGCTAGACATTAAGTGGAATACCATTGGCCTTAGCTTAGTCAATTATGTTTTCATTAGAATCAATAACTTTCTTCGTTCTGCTGCGTGTTCCTCTTAGCTAGTAATCACTGTGTGCAGTACGTATCCATTCTGCATCCCATTGTTTCCATTCTGCCGGCTTACTTCCGCTTTGCCCAGTGCATACGACGCTATCGGGATACGAAGGAATTCTTTCCACATCTGGTGAATGCTGCCAAATATGCGACGTCCTTCTTTACGGTTATCTTCGCCCATAAATATCACACAACAACGGGTAAGTAAGTGAAGGCGGCGCCGATGGCCAAGGCGAAGGCAACAGGCCAATGCCAATGCCAACAACTGAGCATGTTGTTTATCTGTTGGCCAATTAGCGTTAATTTTCATGCGGTCAAGTGCTATAGAAATTGGCTGTTCATTTTATTTGTCACTTGAGCATGTCGCAACTGGCCTAATAGTGTAATGCATATGCCCGCAGATACGTATCCGCTGTCGAAGGAGAATCCTTGGTTCTACTGCTGGATAGTCTCGGCATTGTTCTCTTCGTGCTACGCCTACACGTGGGACATCAAAATGGACTGGGGCCTGTTCGATTCGAAGGCAGGCGACAATCGATTTTTGCGTGAGGAAATTGTTTATTCATCTACGGTGAGTTGGAGTCCGGCTCGCAGGGGCTAATGGCCGCCATAAATATTTGGCCAA